CACGTCATTCTGCAGCGCGTTGGCCACAGCCATGGAGGTTTTCCGTTCCCGTGGGCTCGCGCGTCTGGGCTGGAGCCAAAAAAGGATGCAACGGGATGGCACGGCCAATCTGATCCTGTTGAACAGATACCGTAGATGTTAAAGATTGTGAAAGTCCTGAAAAGATTCAAGATTTTTTAAAAAAAAAAGTACATTGCAGTTCCAAGGTTCAGAAAATGCTGATGACCTATATCGGAGTGAATGGTATGTCAACTTCATTTAAAAACACTGGTGAGTAACGTCTGATTTCACCGCAGTTAGATGATATAAGACCAGGAAACAAAGGCGTGTGAACTGGGTGTTTGTGTTATAACAAACCTCAATTCCTTCACTTCTCCCCATTGAAAGCCGGAGGGACTTACTCAATCAACAAGGCCAAAAAATATCAAAAAATCCCAGGTGCAAATGGCTTGCAAATAAACCAAGCATAACCAAGCCAAGAGATCCAACAGAGACTCTCTACCAGGGGCCAGCAGCTGCCAGTCATCCAACTCGTCATCCAGTGGCTTTTTCCACGCCGCGCTGTCGATCCAATTGGTGCTTTCCTCACCGCCGCCACCCCAATGAGTGGCGAGATGCTTCCGGCCATTGCCGGGCGGAAAAGTCTCAACGGATCAGGCTTCACTCGGCGATAAATGTGCAAAATAGGCCAAGTGATGTCAAGGGAGTCAGCAAGAGGACCAAATCGACCTCAGAAAACAAAACAAAAAAAAAACATACGTACAGTAATTACCTCGGTTTGAAACTGTTGAGCTAAAGATGGGGAAACTTATGTGAAACGTATCCTCCTCACACACCAACAGAGAGTATGAAAGACAGCGGGATGCAAATCGAGAGAGAGTCATAGAGAGTAACAGGAGTAAATATGAGATAAGAAAGGATAAGGTTGAATTGAATAGTACGTACTTAGTATTGATTAACAATAAGATTGATTAAGATTCATACTAATTAGATGATCTCAATGAATATTTTGGAGAACGCCATGCCCAAGAGACGGAAACCAAGGCCGCTTGAGATGTAGTCGAAATGCCTCGGCCCAGCCCGCCCGTGCTTCGAGATGATGGCCCTGGAACCTCCTGAAATGTAGTAGATATTATGTAAGTTGCTGTTAGTGAATCAAATGTGGGGATGTTGCCAGGTTATCTGTTCACATACCTGAGTTGGGTGTTGTTTACGATGATACCCAGTCACTCGCCAGCTGACCGCTGAATTCCGGAAGGAGATGCCAAAATCTTTCCGGGGGCATTCTTTCCGGGCGAGCCGATAATTAGTGGTAACTAAAAATTGAAACCAGCAACCAACTAATGAATTCCAACCTTTGTTGCTTACAGTATATCCCCACTGGTCCTTATAAGATACTACTGAAATCCTGTGAAATCCACCATGATTTGGTGAGTCAGATCTCCATGTTCTCGTGACACCCGCAAGAACAACCCACATGAAAGTTCCATGAAATCCAGATAAAATCTGAAATGAAATCTGCAGAAAATCATCCAAAATCATCCAAAATCCCGACCACAAAATCAAAACAACACCCATTTCAACCGACATAAAAACTCCGAATCCTCCACCTTATTTCACTGCCCCGGCCGCGTCTCCGATCCCGGTGCCCGAGGTCCCGGTGCCATGGTACCATTGAATCCGACACCACTAAGCCCTGGCAGGGTTCACCCCCGAAACTGGATCCAGTGGTCATTCCTGAATACGGGACATCTTATTTTATTGGAAAAATCAAGGGAAATCATCTAGAGAATAACTGGTTGGTGGTTAAAAAACCATCTTGAAAAATATGAGTTCGTCAATGGGAAGGATGACATCCCATATATGAAATGGAACATTAAAAATGTTTGAAACCACCAACCAGATAAGGAATTGTCCATTCGCATGGCAGATTGCCGCATGGCAGACTACCAAATGATAAAGTATGTTCAAATCGCCATCTCTGAGAGTTTAGCCACTTATTTTGGCAATTGACCATAAAAAAAACCTGTGAATTCGATGCCCAGCAAAAAGCCAACATCGGCCAACTCGCTTTCTCATCAGCTTGGACATCCCGAAGTATCCGCAGGAGTTTCCAAGGTCGTGCCAGGGGACATTTAATTCCTCCTCCGTAAGCATTGTCTCAATCTCTGGGTCTGGTGTGCTGCTGCTGGGATGTACCTGCACCATGGGACCATGTGCACTGCTTCGGAGCAGCATCTCATGATGATGTCCAACCATGTCCCGGATGACCTGCAAACTACCATGAAGGTGATGGTAGATCGATATTTCAAGATGTCAATCACTCTAATCCACCGTAGTCTACTATATTTATCAGAAAGCACGTGAAGAAACTCCGTGTGTGTGATCGATCTGTGAATAATACATGTTAGACATGAGTAATATAACGAAGAATCTTAGATTATGACGAGATTAACAATCATCTACAAACATACATAATCATATAAATCATAAATAATTTATATCACATGTATCTATATCTCTATCTATATATATACATATGTTTTTCAATATGATGTTCTATGCTATCATGCTCCATAGTAACTTGTCGTCCCAGGAGCTATGTGCAGGCACAGTCCCTCCGCATCTTCTTTCAGCCCTACACGGCCAGGACCTGCGCAAGCGGTGCGTGCAGCTGCGTGCAGCTGCGTGCAGTGTGCTGGGTGGTGAGGTGATCGTAGTTAGCAAGTGATATGTAGTCATAGCTGGGATATACCATAAGTGGCTATACCCTCTGGTAATAAGTTGTAATAAGTGGGATATACCCTCTGGGATATGATTATTACCAGAGCTTACTATACTATATACCCTCTGGTAATTTGTTGCCCCTGAAAATCACCCAGTTTTAGTGGAAAAAAATCTGCCAAAAGCCTATCTGGCAGGGCCTATGTTAATGTACTGGAGGATGTATATGTTGATGGATTTCACGTTTAACCCCGAACTCATCAGATTCTTCAGATTTCAATGACTGAAGTTTTACTACAGATATAGTACTTCGATGTATTTCGTAATTGGTAGAACTAGTACAACTACGACAACTATGGCCTTGGCTGTAACATGCGGTAACCATGATTTCACAGATGTACATAGTGTCCCAAGAAGCTGGAACAGCTTGCGGATGCTGGTCCAAGACGCTTGCGCCCTAAGAGTCTGGAGCCATGCCCTATGAATTACATCACAAGTACATATATATTATACGGCAAATGCATGTTCAAATATGTACACGCATGGTCCCTGAAATCGTGAACATGCCAAACCATGTGTCTTAACTCCTAAGGCACAGGGGTGTTTCTGCATACTGGCATAACTTAACCTTGGATACCTCAGTGAAGGAGAAAACACAAGTAAGAGAGATATTTAGGAGATACAATTAGAAAAATGGTGAAGCCATTTTTAACTTCCCCCGACTCGGATGGCACCCATCTTCTCTCGAAGCCCCAACATGAAGGGTGCATCCTGGCGTCTCGAAAATTGCCCCATTACCATCTGGTTATTTTAAGATAGCCATGGAAAATCACCATGTTTAATAGGTAAACCATCTATAAACGGGCCATTTTCCATGGCTATGTTAAATAACCGGAGGGTATTAAAGCAACTTACACTGGAATTCCAATGAATCCATCGGCAGGTATCCAAAAGATTCGAAAAGCACATGACTAAATCATTCCGATATGCCAAATGTTTATTTCTGGTTCCTAATTTTTGTCAGGCACATGATACTCTGCACCATATTTGTCAGGCATCCTGGACATCCCAAATCGATCAAAAATTTGGTGATCTTGGTGGAGGTTTCCCTACCCGGGCTACCCCAAATCATCTGAAATTAGACCGTTTTAACATTGAAACCCATGGTTTTGGGGTACCCCCCCATTTTAGGAAACTTCGGAAACATCACAAAGCATCTTTATAGACAGATACATAGTCATAACTCCCAAATTCATGGCTTCCTGAAAAACAAACACGTTTTTTCAATTTCAATTTCATACCCTCTGGTAATTTAACATAGCTATGGAAAATCACCATTTTTAATGGGAAAATCCACTGTAAATGGCCATTTTCAATTTGCAGGTTTTCTACCATATGGTTTCTGTACGGCCTTGTAGCCAGATCTGGGTGTATCAAATTGTTGATTTTTCCAGGTCAAGATGTGCTGCAGCCATGAAAACCACAACAGACATTTCACAATCTAAGTATCTATCTGTCTATCTGTCTATCTATCTATCTATGTAGCTAGCTACCCATCTAACAATCCATTTATCTATTTATCTAGCTATCTTTTATTTTATCGAGCTATCTATCTATCTATCTATCTATCTATCTAGCTATCTTCCTATCTATCTGGCTAACCTAATCTAATTTCATCTAATCGTATTCTAATCTTCCGTAATCTAATCTGATCTAATCTTATCTGATCCAATCTAAATCAAATCTGATCTAATCTAATCTAATCCAATCCAATCTAATGCAATCTAATCTGACATAATCTAGTCTAATCTATCTGCCTGCCTATCTATGTATCCATCTATCTTTCTGGAAAGGACATCTTAACGTCAAAAAGTGCTTCAAACCCTTTGGCTTTTAAACACTTTTGACTTGGAAATGTGCTCTGCGCCAGCTAGCTCGGTGTGGCGTGCCAGTCTTTTGAAAGAGCTGCATGCCAGCTTGCTTGCCGGCATGCCAGCTTTTTTGAGAAATCTGGCTGCCAGCTTGCTCAGTGGCGTGCCAGTTTTTTGAAAGAGTTGGCTGCCAGCTTGCTTGCCGGCGTGCCAGCTTTTTTGGAAAGAGCTGGCTGCCAGCTTGCTCGGTGGCGTGCCAGCTTTTTTGCGAAAGCTGGCTGCCAGCTTGCTCGGTGGCAAGCCAGTCTTTTGAAAGAGTTGGCTGCCAGCTTGCTTGCTTGTGTGCCAGCTTTTCAAAAGAGCTGGCTGCCAGCTTGCTCGGCGGCGTGCCAGCTCTTTTGCGAAAGCTGGCTGCCAGCTTGCTTAGTGGCGTGCCAGTTTTTTGAAAGAGCTGGCTGCCAGCTTGCTTGTGTGCTAGCTTTTTTGAGAAAGCTGGCTGCCAGCTTGCTTGGTGATAAATCCATTAATTTCCTTTCATGTTCGTTCCTTTCTTGTCCTGTCCTGTCTTATCGTGATCCTTTCAATATTTTTTGGGTTTCAACCGCAGGTATCACTTTTGAGATATAATCACATGCAGTTACTGCAAGTGCGTTCCCCAACGTTTAATTTTCCCGGTGTGATGTTTCTGATGAATGATTGGAGCGCGTTTTTTTTATTTGTCCCGTTCTGTTTTGTTTTTTTTCTGTTTTTCTGGGTTTCAGTAAAGGAAGGAAGGGCGGAAGGAAGGAAGGAAGGAAGGAAGGAAGGAAGGAAGGATGGAAGGATGGAAGGAAGGAAGCAAGCAAGGAAGGAAGGAGGAACCTTCGCCCAACCTACATGTTTTTTGGTCACAGATCGAAAACCAAGTTGACATGAACCCTAAATAGATCCAATCCAAAACCCATTTTCAATAGATCGGACAAAGCGCCTCAAAACAAGCATAGAGAGATTTTGAACCATGAAGTTTACAAGGTGCATGCCATAGATAGTCCCGTGAGTACCATGTTCAACCAACAGCATTGCGTGAGTGAAAAGGTGTCAACCTGCTTTGGGTGGGAGGCGCTGCTTTCTTTTTTTTGTGGAGACCTACCAGGTCATATGCATGAGTATTGGGCACAAGTAAAATATGCTGTCAAGACTCCCTTGCTCCTGCTGTTGCTGCTGTCATTCATGCTTTCCTGATTCAGGAGCACCGTGCAATCATGAAACATCTGGAACCAAGCTTGCCTGCTAGCTATGAGCTGCTAGTGCTACTGTTGCTTCTCAAACTTCTGCATTGTCCGTGCCATTTGTCGACGCACATCCTGTCCAGCTGGGATGGCAGCTGACCACTGCTGTGTGGGGGCCTGGAACTGGTGGCTTGGTGGCCCAACGACCCAGCTGCCTTGCAAGTAGGGCCGTGTGGCTCGAACGCTGGCTCCTGGGAATTGGGTACGCTTGGTTGCTGGGTCAGGTAACTTACACGCATGGAAGCTGGCTCCCGCCACTTTCCCCTCCTTCGTTGGACTACGAACAGTGTTGCACCTAACCGGCCAACTACCAAAACATGTCCATCTACTAATTTTGTGGCCTGCCAGCTGACCTGCAATCAACCACACGGAAAAAGATTAAGATTACCAAAACATATCCCTTTGCCACTCGTCTGGCCATCTGGAATCAAGCATGCTTGCTAACCATTGGCTGCTACTGCTACTACACCATTGCTGTCCATGCCAGCATCGTCGCGGCGTGTATCCTATTGGGCTGGGACGGCAGCTGACTATGTTGTGTGGGGGCCTGGAACTGGTGGCTCGGCGGCCCAACGACCCAGCTGCCTTGCAAGTAGGGCCGTGTGGCTCGAACGCTGGCTCCTGGGAATTGGGTACGCTTGGTTGCTGGGTCAGGTAACTTACACGCATGGAAGCTGGCTCCCGCCACTTTCCCCATCTTTCGTTGGACTACGAACAGTGTTGCAATCAACCAACCAAGTACCAAAACATGTTCATCTGCTAATCTTGTAGCGTGCCAGCTTACTTGCAACTTTCATCACCAAAAGCATGTGACAGCGCAAAGGTTCACAGCCAAGGGACCGGAGTTTGACTTCTGGGAAGTGGACAGTGCTCGGGTTCTCTTTGGCCCAGACGTCGCTATCAGCCTTTACAAGTTTGAAGGGTGCTGCGGGAAGGACATTTCCGAAGAGCTACAGAGCCTATGTTGCCATTGAAGGCAATTTGCAGAGTCAGTTGGCAAGAAGCTAAGCAAGTGGTGCAGTCAAGGTCTGTGGAAGGAGCTGGGGTTGATCAGGTGGCAGATGCGCTGGGGCTAGATCTCCAAGCCCCTGAGAGCATTCCAGGTCAACTTGCCGAAACCAGTCAGGCTTGCAGTTCAAGAGCTGCACCCTTGCCCCTGGCGAACGGACCTGTTTCCGACTCCAAGAAGCCTGACGTTTGTCCCATGCCAGAAAATCTTCCTGCTCACTTGACAGACCTTTTCAAGATGATTCGGGTCCACTACAAGTTGCAGATTCCACCAAGCAAAAAAGACATTGCTGGAGTCTTGGGCCAGCACCATGGCTTGCTCAATTTTCTTTATTGGTGTTGGGGCTGGCAGGGGTGATCTGGATTCATTTCGCTCAAAGCAAGCATGTTCATATTATGAACGCGGTTCCACAACGTTCGATCATACACGTATGATGCATGCCAGGGAAAACATGTGGGGGTATAGGGCAAGTCATGGTCCAGGTATAGTTCCTTGAAGAAGAAACGTGGAGGGCACCCTGACTTGGAGAAGATGGCCGGCTGCCTTGAGCTTGCTTGCTGCGCTACTGCAGCGGAAGATTTGCTCAAGGCGCAGGACGGGCCGGCTACCACCAAGCTTTGGCCACTTCATGTGCTGTGGTCGTTCTATTGTGTTTTTCTGCGCCGCTTTGCTGTGGCCTATCATCTGACCTTGACAGGACTATTTTCCTGTCCCACTCGGGTGGAAGCAGGTCCTTGTTGCTCGGATCATGGCTTACAAGAAGCCGGAGAACTTGGAGCAGGGCGTGAAGTGGCTGCCTTCCATTCAGGCCATGCCTGTGAAGCTCACGTTGATGAGTTTATGGCGCGCCCGCTTTTTGATAAAGTTCCTTTGCGTGCCGTTTTTTTTGACAGAGTTGGTTGCCAGCTTGCTTGCTGGCTGCCATGCGAAAGCTGGCTGCCAGCCTGCTCAGTGGCGTGCCAGTTTTTTGAAAGAGCTGGCTGCCAGCTTGCTCGGTGGCGTGCCAGTTTTTTGAAAGAGCTGGCTGCCAGCTTGCTTGCCGGCGTGCCAGTTTTTTGCAACTTTTTTGCGAAGTTGGCTGCCAGCTTGCTCGGTGGCGTGCCAGCTCTTTTGAGAAAGCTGGCTGCCAGCTTGCTCCGTGATGTGCTAGTTTTTTCAAGGAGCTGGCTGCTAGTTTGCTTGCTTGCTTCCAGTTTTCTTGTCAGAGCGCTGTTTTCTAGATAGGGCTGCCGCCAGCATCTCTTTGGCGCCACTAACTTGTTCATCATGACTTTGTTTTCTGTGTTGCTTTTGGGGTTTTGTCAGGCTTTCTTGAAAGATGACGCGAAAAGCATCCAGCCCATTGAGGAAAAGTTCCTCACTGTGATTGTGAAGATGGGCGAGGAACAAAAAAAGATCCTCACCGATTTTGTTGACAAAGCCATTTCCCCCGAAGCCAGCATGGCAGCAAAAAGTGGCTCGGGGGTGTGACAGGGGCGGGGTGGAATTTTGTTCGGCTTGCATCCTGCGCTGTTTGGCTGCTTGACTAGATCTGCCAGCGAAAGTGGGTGGCTCGATCTGTTTTGATCTGTTTGGATCTCAAACCAGATTTAACCAGATCCAGCCAGATTTAATCAAATCAGA